ACTGTAGGAGGTAGATTATGGCCAGCCAGCAGAGAAAAGCACTACTCAGCTGAAAAATTAAAATGAAACTTATTGTGAACTGCCATTATAGCATCAAGTGAAAAAAAAAAAAATGAAAAAAAGACATCAACTACCCAGAGAGATAGTGGAAAGTCTCCTCAACTAAAAAAGTTTATTATCATTTTGATACAGTACATCATATAAAAAGGAAAATGACAAAAAAAAAATTTGCATGAAGAATATCATTGCAAAGAGAAGGTAAGGAGTGTTCATATGGGCAAGGCCCACAAGCCACAAACATGGGAGAGCCGCCACTCAAGTAAGCTTAATAACTGGAGTTTGGTCCATGTACTAGCCAGGAGGCACCAGGATCCAACAGGTTAACATGTCACTCCCATCAAACATTACCACACTGTAGCTGGTAGTCCTTCTTCATCTCCAACAAGCAGAGGGTGTTTGTATGACTATACCCATGCCCTCTTACCTCATCGAAAATGACAGTTCTCTTCCACTAACCATTAACTGCAACAGGAGCAAGATAGTCCTTCATATCCTAAATTGTTGGACAGTAACTATCCAAATAATCAAGCACAGCATGATGTATAAATTTGTCCCTCCCACTGAAACTGTGGAGACTAGAATTTAGTTTGATCTTGTCGGCAAATTAAGCAAAGGTTCTGGAGAAGACAGTTTTCTCTAAGAAGTTGTTTTACAAGGTCATTAAAATCTTATTCTTATTGACTAAAAATTAATACAGTTGAAATAGCATGTGTAAAATATGTCTTCCGACTATGCAATGGCTCTCCTGAAGTTTTACATACTGTCTCACCAGCAACTGACAAGTATTATCATCCACTGCAATATTCATTCCTTTCAAATCTTTGTACCTTTATCGTGCAATACTTCATACATCGACTCCACTAGATAATCCTCAATAAAAGTTAAATATAAGCCCTATTCAATTACCCCAATCCCCTTTATAAGCTCACTTTTTTATTTCTTTTTTTCTTCAATTTTTTCCAAAAACAATTAAATTGTTTTGCTTGCTCTGGGACACAACACTGTGGAGGTGACTTAAGATATTCTAGATTGGTCCAAGGGGCATGCAATCGTTTTGTTCTTGTGACTCATATCTTATTCCTAAGTCAAGTTATATCCTCATCTTCGGCAACTTTCATGTACCAACTTGGCCCACAAAGTTTCAGTTAGAAATCTTAGTTGGTAAACAGTTCAAATACATCCAACTCTAGTATTAGTTGGAAAGTTTTGAATTCCAGCATTTTTCACCTGGGGACAACCCCCCACACCTGCCTCCCTCGAGAAAGTTATCACTTATCTGGAAATGGATGAGAAAATATAACTTGTCAGGCATAATGTCTCAGTCTCCCATTTTCTCTCTCTCTCTCTCTCTCTCTCTCTCTCTCTCTCTCTCTCTCTCTCTCTCTCTCTCTCTCTCTCTCTCTCTCTCTCTCTCTCTCTCTCTCTCTCTCTCTCTCTCTCTCTCTCTCTCTCTCTCTGTAATCCTAATTCTGAGTTCTAAGTCAGCTTTTAGTTACCGACTTCTTGCCTCATTATATGCTGCCTCCACTGTCATCCTTAAATTTCATTTGTTTTGAATCGCAAGAACAGAATGAATGCACACCCTGTGGACCAATCTAAAATATCTTACGTCTCCTCCACATTGTTGGGTCCCCAGTGAAGCCCAACAATTTCATTGTTTTTGGAAAAAATAACACTCATTTTTTGCAATCTTTAATTTCAGAAAATAATGAGACAAAAGCTAAAATAGCCCTATTTTATGGAGGTTTTCTTCTTTATCCTTGCTATATCTACGCCCATGAAACTTGGCACATAGTAAGAAGTGCCCAAGACCTCTCTGGTCCCAGATTTTTAAGTTGCTGGCCCCTTGTTAACCCTGCTTTTTGGGGCTTAAAATCACAAAAATCTTGATTTTGGCAAGATGTCAGAGAACCCTGATGTTCCCTATCCCAACAAAACATGTTCCTTTACAACACCTTTCTAACAGGTGGTCAATCATCTCTCTATATCATTCCATTCTCAGAAAATCTTGCTTCTAAATATGGTTGTACCCCTGTATATATGCCTATTACCTTTAGGCAATTTGGGACCCCTCTATATTTCGGCCTATACCAGGCTGATTGCAATGATACTTGGCATTCTTGATGATTGGCCCAACTACACCTAGGACCCAAAGTATCAATTTCCTATCTAGTCGCAAAACCTGTTTCGTAGGACCAGAAAAATCCGCAAATTTTTAAAAGTGTATTACTGCACTGGCCCAGTAGTGTCAGACGGAGATTCCCAAACATTTTTTTACATACATTTGGGGTAGTGCTCACTTGTTTACCAGTAGATTGGAGCTTACTGGAGGGACAACCCCACACCCCTCGTTTATGAGATTTAGGGGAGGATAAGAGTTTGAGTTGTTGGGTTTCCAGTGCACTGGCCAATGCAGTGATAAAATGTACCAATAGCATTAGTGAATTATCCCACAATGTATAATAATGACTATACACAAAGATAAACAATTTCTTGTGTTTCACCACAAATACTTGGAGGGTTTTATGTATTCCACTGCAAGAGTGGGGGCTGGCAGTCCCCCTATGGAGAGGGTTGCAAGCAGCCGTACCCCCGCAGTAGACAATATGACTGATATTTTAACACACAATTTCCCCGGTACTTTTCAATCCCTCCCCTGCTATCAAGGCCAAGAACATGAGGGATTGGGGAGTTTGCATGCAGTAATTTTTATATATTTGGAAACTAGGGAGTAAGAGGAATCAATCAATACCAAAATCATTGTGATCTATAACCTATTGTATGAAATTACTCCCTAATTGTGTGAGGGTGTTGTGAACAGACAATATTCATATCATCAGATTTATTCTCGTGCGATTCCGTAGCAATCACAGCCGACGATTTTAATGTGTTAAGTCCTGTTAGCAGGGGAAGGCATGAAGTATATCAGTGAAAATATTTGGTAAAACTGGTTTGAATAAGAAGAATTGCGAACAGAAACATGTAAAATTAGCACAAAAAACACTAAAAATCGGCTAATGAAACTCTACGGACATGTCCGCTACCTTCAAAAGTTTACGCACCAACACGCCAGAGTTCTAAAAACTCGACAGGAATCCAACCCATCTTTTGGCAAAATCTACAGGGTTTCACACCTTCCAAACCCCCCAAAACGCCCTAACCTCTAACCCAACCAAATCTACTAATTTACGGTGCCGTGACTAGGCGTTCCCTTCGGGCACTGCCTGATGGGAGGGTCAATGGGGGGCAATCCCCCAAACACCCTACGGGATGCATTCTCTTCACCTCGGTATATATGGCAAGATAGAGCTATATCCATACTGTAAACAATAAACCAAATACCTTTATATATTGAAAGACCGTACTGTCAATTTTCCTTCGCTTCTTTCGGTCAATTGGTCAGTCTATTGTGGATGTGATCGCTTTATTTTTATCACTTTTTGGGGGATTTGGGGTACTTGATGGCCTCAGAAATCAAACTGCGATAGTTATTAAGGTCTTTTTCTTCTTCGTTTCCACTGTATAGTCTTAAGAACAACCTAGGATCGATGTAACATCAAAAACAAAACATTTCTCGCTGGCTTCCTGCCACCGACTGCCCGAGAAACATCCTGTCAAATCTGGCGGCAGAAACGCGCAAAAGGGTCTTCAGACCGATTCCCTTAAATCACTACTTAATAAATCTTGAAACATGAAAGTGAGGTATAACAACATTAACAAAGGCCTTTGAAAGCATGTATGTGGAACAGCAGTCACTGATAATTAGCCAAATATCGTTTTGACAACGGCATAGTATTACATGAACTACTTAACAGAGCGCAAGAATGAGTTGACTGGTCACAATTTTGCTTGCATTCACGATGTCAACATGGCGAGGGACTTAGAAAAAGATAGGTCGTGTTTGTCTCTTCTCTGTCATGTAACTCCTTTATTTTCAATTTGCGCACCTCATGCCATAGATAAAAAGTGTCTCAGTTTACGTCAAGGTAACCATTCCACATCTTTTTCTTTAACTCAACTCCTGATTGTTATCCACTGTAAATTTCCCTATTTTGCTGTATCTTTGTTGTTTGACTCAATTTCTTATGCTTTATAAGATGGCAGTGTCAATTTCCTCCTTTCTCTGTGCATTGCTCTCAGTAACATTGACCTTAGACATACCAAGAAAATAGTAGACATAAGGCGCTTTTTCCGGTGACTACACTAGAAAGCCTTGTTTTTTTCAGTACTTAGTGCAATATCCTCATTAACATTATCAATGTTACCAATAATACTCCATACAGTGTAGCATCAAATTTGAATTTCCCATTTCTTCCAGTTTCAAAACAGGCAGAGGTGCTCCGGTCACTCATCAGCCAGGTGCAGTTGTTTATATATGACCCCGCCCCCATAAATAGGGGTGGAGTCATAGGAAACTGTAGTACTACAGTTCCTTGACGGCAGAAAAAAGGCCTATATAAATGAAAGTCAGTGTTGCATGTATGCCATCTGAATCCAACAATGATATCTTATATAGCATAAAAAACAGAATAAGAAACAATATAGTGTCTTCATATTTGCCATGAAATGACGAAAATGTCCACTGCATATCACTACTATATAACAAAGTCCACAACACACTCACAAAGCCAGAGTTCTTAATATCTGTTTTCTATAGGTTGGCACAGTGATAATAAATGGGGGGTACTGGGGGGTTTGCCCCCCTGGGTAATTGGTAAAGACTGCGATGCACCCTCGCACACACCAAGTCAAAAAATTTGATTTCTGCAGAAAATCCAATGATTTTATCGATTTTCAGCGTTGTTTCTTCAGCGAATTAATAATTCAGGAGATCGAGTACCATTTCTCCATCGACGATCTTGATTTGATAGTCCCGTTAGCAGGGGAGGGCATGAAGTATATCAGGGAAATTATGGGGTAAAACAGGCTTAA